TGTTCATGGTAAAAGCTATCAGGAGACTAGAAGTAGAACAGAACCTTCTCAACAGATCAAAGACATGTACTCCGTACTTCCAACAAAAACTCCTTCTATGAACGGAGACGATGCAATGCTTTCTCCCTAAAGTGGGGAACAAGGGCAGATATGCCTACTCTAACAAGATGAAGAGTAAATATTAATAGCAGCCAATGATCATTTGTAGAATTAAATTGTGATGCCTTTAAAATTTTTAGATATATATATATATTTGAGTTTTTATAATGCTCAGACTTTTAAAGCTAAGAATATATTTCTGTACATCAGAAAGCAACTAAGATATGCTAAAAGAAAGAACCAAGAACCAACAAAACCATCTACCCAATGAAGGAGCATTGGTAGTTCTTAGAAACAAAGCCAAGCAAAGTTAAATTAAAATCATGTTGGCCTTTGGGGCTGGAGGAGAGGGAAGCAGCATCGCTGTGTGCATCTACTGAGCCCTCGACTCATCACAGCTCTTTCCTCACCTCTCCCACAGCAAAGTAAATGCACCAAGTGTGGTGCACATGTCTGTGATCCAAGGCTCACAGACTGAGGCAGGAGGGTCACCGTGAGTTTGAGGCCAGCCTGGGCTACAGAGTGAGCCCAAGCCCACCGTGAACTACATAGTGAGACCCTGTCTCAAACACTCCCCACCCTAAAAAGGGAAAATAAATGGCTGGGACAAACCCAAACGGGAAGTGGGAAGGGTGGGGACATCCAGGGGGAGACCACCTAAGAATCACTGAATCCCAGAGCTGGTAGAAGCATCTGAGGTTGTTGTAACACAAGCCCTAGTCTTATATCAAAGAAGGGATCAAAACCCAATTTGCTTAAATGACTTGCCCAAAGCTATCACCTTTCTATCAGACCAGTCCACCATCCAGTCTGAAAACGTATAGCTTTTTCTATGAAAGAAAGCCCAGAGAATATGATATTGAAAGATCAAAACTGTCCAGCAGCCTCCTGCCTCAGTCCTCAGTCCCAGTGAGATTGGAAGGTCATTCTTCCAGGGGTTACCACAGTAGGGCAGGACAGCAAGGGAGAAAGTGTTACTTTGCTTAGGGTTATGTGTCATCATGGGTGAAATCACAGAGCCTTGGTGACTTTAATGACACGACAACTGAAATGGATTGCAGGTAATATGATACACAATGAAGCACTGCATGGTGTGGCAAAGACACTGGGGTTCGTCTCCTGCTGGAGAGCAGCCTCTGCCAAATGCAAGCCTACTCTGCAGAACTTTCATCACTTCTGTGATACATTCATTTTGGGAAATTTATAAATTTCAGTAACAACCATTAATCATGCATTTATTTGCATCATTTTCTTTTTAAAAGAAAGCATAACTGCTTTATTGAGATATAATTCACATATCACAAATTCACTCTTTTAAACATTTAAGTGGTTTCTTTGGTATATTCAGATGCTTATTTCATCTCCCTTAAAAAATACAGATATTCTTCATTTAATCACCTACATGGTTAATGACTGTTTGGACTTATACTGAGGTGTGCTGTTCAGACTTAGACCCACCTCTTGGACTTACAACCCACCTTTTTTGTGTGTGCAGTTCTATACATATTGTTTATAGGGCCTCAATATCTTTTTTTGTACAGTACACCTTGTTTATACAGCACTGAAATTTTTAGCCACTGGACTGTACACTATAGTACTGTAGTTTTATGTTCTGTTAAACATTACAGTATTGCATCTAAAAGTTATATAAATAAAAGCAAAGTCATTAAGTTAGAATTTCCTTTGACCATTTCTCTGAATATTGTAATGTACATACTATACACAATTCCTCATTCAGTGACTGATTCATTTGACATTTTAGTTGCAGGAATGGAACTGTGTTGTTAAACGAAGAATGTCTGTATATTAGTATACATGTGTTATACGAGTAGTATAATTATGTATTTTAGTTGACACATTATTGTATGTACTTATGAGATACCGTGTGATATTTCAGTACACCAATGTTCTACTATCAGATCCGGGTAATTGGTAAAACTGTCACCTCATTTATCATTCATGTTGGAAACATTCAAAACTAGCTATTTTGAAATATATAATTAATTATTGTCAACCAGTTACCCTACTGTGCTATAGAACATTAGAAGTTATTCTTTCTAATGGCTGCTATCAAGAAATCAACCAATAACAAATGCTGGCGGGACTGTGGGGAGAAAGGAACCCTTCTCCATTGCTGATGGGAGTGCAGACTGGTGCAACCACTGTGGAACTCAGTATGGAGATACCTCAAAGAACTAGGACTAGAGGTCCCATTTGACCCAGCTATTCCCCTGCTGGGGATCTTCCCCAAAGAATTAAAAGAATCATACCACAGTGATATATGTGCGCCCATGTTTATAGCAGCACAGTTTGTAATCGCTAAAGCTTGGAAACAGCCCAAGTGCCCATCAACTGGAAACTGGATAAAGAAGATGTGGTTTTTTTATTAAATCCATAAAGAATGAGAAACTAGAGACATTTATAGCTAAATGAATGCACATTGAGGCCATACTGTTAAGTGAAATAAATAGGACACACATGTGTAAATACCGAATAGTTTCTCTAGTGTGGGAAACTGAAAGTGTAAATAAGGATAAAAATGATTAAAATGAATAACTGATAATTTGAAATAGGAAGAAAAGGTCCAAAGATGGAGGGGTGGCGGGAGGGGAAGGGAAAAGGGAAGAAAGGAAAGGAAAAATTATGAGAAAAGGAAAAAATGGAAAGAAAGTCTATGTAAATAGGGAAGGGTGGAGGGGGTGAAGGGCGCACAGGGAATGGGGGAAAAGATAAGAACCAAGATGCATCATGGACAGGCACAAGCACCCAGTGATAAATGTAAACATACTGTCTACTTAAGATGGACCAATGAATACATAAATAAAAAAAGAAGTTATTCTTTCTGACTTGCTGTGAGACCACTCAGCCCTTGTGCAGCCTCTCTCTATCCCTCCCCCATTTTCCAGCCTCTAGAAACCATTATTCCACCCTCTACTCCTAGAAGATCAACTTTTAGCTTCTACACATGAAAGGAAATGAAACAGTACTTGTCTTTCTGTGCAAGATGCTAATTTCTTAAACTTATAGCAACTTCTCATGGTAGATTTAGTATTCCACATGTGAAAACTGAAGAAAACAAGGCAAAATTTTGACTTTTTTTCTGGCTCACTTGTGCTCACATGTTAATATTTAGAACAGAGAAATGCTGGAGGCACACCAAGTATACAACTTTAGAGAAATGACTAATTTCACGTTATTTACAATTATTCTTAAGTAATTACAATGATAGCATTTGAAATATTCTGAATAATCTGAAGTATTAAAAAACCAAAAATACGTATGTATATACTAATTACAGAAATAGGAAAGCAAGTGTACATACTCTTACAAGTATGAGTCACAGTTGTAGAATAAAATTTTTAAGTTACTTATTCTGCAAAGTTGCTCAAGTGAGATAAAGCACAATATACTATCATGCTTAATAAGATAAATTAATAATTGTCAACCTAACCAAAGACAACCAAACTATGGGCTTCCTAGAGCCACAGATCTTGCTGTTGGTCTTGCTGGCTCATCAACGAAGCAGTTTTGGATCTCATGGGACCTCCTCCAACCACTGGAGACCTTAATATTGTTCTCCTCCTCCTACCACTCAGTTCAGTCCATTCCTGCTGTTAGGTGGACATGTCATCCGGGCAGGTAAGAACCACTCTCCCGAGGGTACATTCACAGAATTTTGGGCACTTTTCTGTACTTCCCCAGCCCTTTCTTCCATAGAGTCTTCTGCTGCTTCTGAACTAAGGTCTCATATATATTTTTCACTTTTAGGCCTTTTCCTAATTCTTACTGGTCTGCATGAGTCTGCATCCTATCTTAACTGTTTAAAGAATACAATATTGAGGGGCGAACCACAGGGAAGAGGACTGGGAAGGAGATACCTGCATGCTGACCAGTTTGAAGTAGACCCCTTCTTTCCTCATCAGCTCACTGTGGCTTCCTTGCTCCACAATGACTCCATCCTCCAAGGCAGCGATGACATCGGCATTACAGACTGTGGAGAGTCGGTGTGCTATCACCATGGTGGTCCGGCCTTTTCGGGCCTAAAGGGGAGACAGGCAGGCTGTGGTGCATCTGGGCTACGGGGCCCACATTGTCAGGGGGACCCACATTGTCTCAGATGCGTGCTGACAGTTTACATCGGCATCTCTGTGTGATTAGGACACCGACATCACTCTGCTGCTCAAGGTTCAAGTCAAACAGGAGTCGCTGGCCAGACACGTGGTCAGCCTTGCAGGACAAGGATGGAGCACTCTGGAGCCCACAGCGGTGTGTTACTCAAGAGGAATGAAGGCTTGGCCTTCCTCAGTTGTCTTTCACATCAGTCTGAGGAGCCTGAGCTTGGACTTATGTGGCAAACTGGGGCCTTGGGCAGAAGCATTTTAGGGAAGAAATGCTTTAGGGAAGTCATTGCCAAGGGGCAACCTTCTCCAGAACATGATTTTAACTGCAACCTCATGGGCCTTTAGGCTGCAGTTTAGGTGAAAATGTACTTTGGGATCAGGACAGCTCAAATTATGGTCAAAAACCATCTAAATTCTAGTCTCTGGAGTGGAGCAGTAGCTTTGCACCCTAACAAGTGCCCAGATGGTTTTTATTATGCTGAAATCTACAAGTTACTGTTGTAAGTTGTTCAGTGATCTCAGATATTGGTCTGGTGGATTAAACCCTGGATAATGTCCATCAAATTATTAATGTTATGTCATTAACAATGGTTACTCTTTCTGACATTCATGAGCCCTACTAGACCAATGCTTCTTAGGACAGGTGTCTACTCTGTATATGACAACTATGCTGTTGTCTGTTAGTAGGGAAAAGGTAATTTATACAATAAATGGTAATGTATAAATAAGTGCTGGACAACTGGAGAGAGAAATAATACAGTATTTCTACTTTAGTCCTTATTCTAAAATAAATCCAGATGAATCAGCTGTGTTTAAGTAAATATAAAAGAGCAAAAACATTTTAAAAAGGAGAGGCTAGAACATAGCTCACTTGGAAAACATTTGAACTATTCTTTGATTTTTAGCATGTCAGCCCTGAAGCAGCACTCCCAAATATTTACTCATACGAAGTTGCATGACTGAGTCCTCATATAATGCATATGAGAAATAATTTGATTTATTATATACATGATACTAATTGTGATTAATAAAGAGCTAACAGTGACTGTGTTACCATTAGGACAATATTAGGTTGACATGGTGTCAGCAGATCAGTACAAAGGAACTGGAATCAGACTTGGGAGTGAATGTTGTGTGGGAAGAGCAGAGAGCAACTGTCACCCTTGTCCAAGAAAAGTTGACCAGAATAAATTCTAACACAAATAGATTTTTTTCAGAGCTCTCAGACACCCCGGTGATGATAAGACAGTGGCAAACAATTATCCTAGATTCAAAGCAAACAACTGTTGAGAAATTTGTCCCTCTAGCATGGTAACACTGAGTTTGAGTAGTCAGGTAAATATGAAGCTTTGTAATTATTGACTTCCTTTAAAAAATCAAAATAGCTCAGTGGTTCCGCTGCCTGCCTCACAAGTGCAAGGACCCAAGTTCGATCCCTGGTACCAAAAAAAAGAAATCAAAATAGTGAATCTGCTGTTTTTAAGAAATTGTATGGAACAACATATTATTTATTTTGACAAATGGTTGCTTGTTAAACATGCTATGTATTTTCTTAGTGAGCTGGACTGTCACATTCAGTTCTCTAAGTACTTAGTCTCTCCTATGTGCAAGGCACTGGGACAAGTGCCGCAGAGATACAAACATGAACCACTCATGAATTCTAGGAGAGAGAGGCAGCCATAACCAACAGCCAGGTATGTGGGGAAGTGTCCTGAACGTTCAGCCTGCCTGATCCTGAGCCAGGGCCAGAGGGGACAGAAGCAAAGCTCTATCAACTCACAGATTGCTGAGAAATGAAAGTTATGTTTTAAGCCACTAAATCTTAGCTTAAAGTAACAGAGAGGGAAGCACCGGGGAGCTACTGACACAAGAAACTAGGCTATGTGCCCTTGGGCTTTGCAGCTGAGCTAGGCAGTGGCTGGAAGGGAAGTGGTGACATTTCCAGTGGAGAATGAAGAAGTGTAAAGAAATTGCTATCAGAGGGTGGGGGAGAGGTCTGGAGTGCGCAACCTCGGAACACTGATGGAAGTGTTTCCTGTGGTAACTTAGAAGAAACGTATTTTATTTAATGAACTCCTCCCTTTAAAGTAGAGACCCAAGAGACCATCAACTGAGAGCGTCATAATCCCACACGGCACAAAGAACTGCTGAAAGCGAGTGACTGTGCAGATATTAATTAAAAGGTAATGGCTTTAGCTTTTTGCAGAGGTCATATCACAAAAAATAGCTGAATTCCAATAATTAATTCCACTCCTTTAGCACAGCAATCCTGCAGCAGGTGGAAGCTGCCCTCTAGGGCCTAAGAGAACTTAAAAAACAATCCCTCCCATTCTTCCTGGCTTCACCCTAAAAAGTCTATGCTGATACCTGAATGGCTACACATTTTAAATTAACATCAGTCATTTAATTTATATATGCAATAATTACTTTTGTTATTTCCTGCTTTAACTCCCCTCTGCTTTCAGTCACATGTATAGTTTGATTCCTTAATATAATATTATGACAGTGTACATGAAAGTAATATAAATTAGTGTGAGGCTTTGAAAGGAATGATTTTTGTCTCTGTAATCACTAACTTAAATGATATAAAATGAGCCAAAATATTGTCTGATAAATGAGGAAGTGTGGATTGACTACACTTTACACATACAAGGCAGTCGTGTTTACTTAGGAAAATAAGGTCCATAATTTTGTCTCTAAAATTAACAGAGGCAACTTTAGTTTCTGCTAAGGAGCCTGCACATGTATCACTAAACATTTTTCCATGACACGTTTACAATGTGTGTTTGGAATGTGCCCACAGCGGGTCACCTCGCTGGAGTTTACACCCTGCTGCTATAAGAGATGGCATCAGCAACAGCCCCGGGGCTGCACCTGGGTAAGGCTCTTCCCACAGAGCTTCAGTTTCATAAAGATGCTCGTGAGAGACCTGAAATTGTCCGAGCAGGTCACTGGGCTCAGTATATGCTGCTTAAATGGTCTCCTCAAAATGGCTTACTTATTTCAAACATGCAAAGTGAACTTATTTCCAGAAAAGTGTCTAACCACCTTCATGGGTAAAGATTACATTCCTGCCTATAAGCAAGGTATTTTGAACTTTTTTCAGCTGGCCTAGGGTAGAGGTAACTAGATTTTTTGTGTGTGTCTGTATGTGTTTTGTGTAAATTATTTATTTCCTACTGATGTACTGAAATTAATGTAACCACAGAGAAAGAGTTTTAACTTCTAAATAGATTACAGTACACCAAAGAAAGGAACAGTATGCCATCATTAAAATGTATGGCATAGAAAAATACTTGGACAGTTTTAATTATTTTCCTATTGATTTCTTTGTATATTTTCATACAACTACTTTTGAGCAAGAAAAGACCAAGCTGAATGGCTTACTGCCTGGGACTCGGCTCTGCCCAGAGGTCAGTGCCAGCCAGTGCCAGTCACCACCTCCACAGACCGTGCAAACTGATGGGAAGGAGGAGCCAGAGAGCCCACAGGACCCCCTCATCTGCCCTTAGGGTTTGGTTTGCCTTGTGCTTCATCTGCCCTTGGGCTTGCAAGCATACACAGTAATGTGCAACAAAGCTGGGTTTGCTGCTCCTCCGGACACTCAGGGTCCACTGACCTTGTCCAGTGCCACCTGCACCTCGGCCTCACTCTCGGTGTCCAGGGCTGACGTGGCCTCGTCCAACAGCAGGATCTTGGGGTTGCGAACCAGGGCACGCGCAATCGCAATCCTCTGTTTCTGTCCCCCACTCAGATGCGCCCCTCTCTCTCCAACCAGGGTGTCAAATTTCTACCACAGAAAACAGAAACATGGAAGAGCTCTGGAAGCATTTTAAATACCAAAGGGAGGGAGTCTAGAAATACATGAAGATAACTTGGAGCTTAGTCTCAACTATTATACTGTATCCTAAGTTGTTGGGAGCAATGCTACATAATTCTAGGGAAAAATCCTTTGAGTAGGCCTAGTTCTCCTGCCTACAGCCCAGCTAGGACATTCCAGACATAATTGCATTTTGGCCTCTGGTCACAACTGAGACCTCAGTGATCCCCCCCCCACCCCCAATGCTGCAGTCTCCAGGACAGGACCACACCTGTGGGAGATGCCAGGGAGGAACCAAATCTTCATCTGCATAGTTCCTGGGAGGAACCAAATCTTCATCTGCATAGTTCCTCATTGTTCTTAGATTTCCGCTGCCCCCAGTCTTTTGTTACACCTTGTTTATCCCAATGTGAGGTACTGAACTCTATATTTCACTTGTTACATCTGTTTCCCCATGTACTGAATAAAGGTGCTGCAAGCTAGGGGTCTTTCGTTTTTGCCGCCCAGAGCAGCACTGATCAGACCCAAAGCTCAGCTTCTTCTCAGTCTCATTTATCTACCTTTCCTGTAATTCGCCGTGTGCTGCCGTGGCTTGCAGGAGACTAGGACTCACTGCAGAGGTCCTGGTAACGTCCCCTTCCCCTGTTCCCTACACTAAGTCAAAATAAATGAGCACTGACTTACAAGAAAACTACTAACAGACATTCTGTTTACAGTTTTACGTTATCTGTGTACCAGAATGTACTCCTTAAGCCTCTGCTGAATAATTCAAGGATTTACCTAGCAAAGTTGGACAACCTTACATCTCAAGCAGTAGCTTATCCTTTGAAGTCAGTGTCATGAGCTGGAATTCTGATTTCAAGGAAGACCTCATTGCCAGAACCTTTACCTGTGGCAACCTCATGATAAACTCATAGGCGTTGGCTTCTTTGACAGCTCTCTTGATCTCTTCCATGGTGACATTTCCACGGCCATAGCGAATGTTTTCAGCAATCGTGGTAGAAAATAACATGGGCTCTTGACTCACCACTCCAATTATTTCTCTCAGATAGCTCACATTAAGGCTCCTGATATCCTGCCCATCAATGCTGATCTGAAAGAGAAATATTTTCTGGTGAATATTTAAACCATCTGATAGCTAAAGCAGCAGGACTCTTCATTATGAAAAATCTTAGCTAGCATTGAACTTATTTCAGTAGATAGAAATTGCAAGAATAAAAATTAAAAGTTAATGTGTTCTGATGTTTATTTTCTTGTACATAGTTTTTTTTTAATGGATTGTTCTCCATAAGCTATTTGGGTTACATATTTGTTGATCTGGTCTTCGTGGTGCTGGGGAAGAAACCCAGGGCCTGTGACTCCAATGCAAGTGCTCTACCAGTTTGCCACCTCTCCCACTATGTGTTTGCTATGCCGTTACTTTTACTTATGGACTCTAAATTTCAATAAAAATTTCCACTCACCTACCTAGTCTACCTATCATTTTGATCTTATTTTATGGTATTTTCAGCATGCCTTAATCTACTTCAGTGTTACACATTTTTTGGATTTGGTTCCTTTTAAAATCATTGTAAAAGCAGAGAATTAACATGTCAAGTAGGATTAAATTTTCTCTTTGGGTAACAATTGCATACCTGTACAATGACTGGTGTTTGCTACACATTTATTTCTTGTTGAATAAGGGCTGAACAAACAATGCTCTAAAAATATTTTAATACTTTATAGTGTCATCAGGAATATATATAAATATATTTGCTGCATTGTAATATACTAACACTGGGTTTTATCATCTTAATTTGTTTTTCTCTAATTAACATGAGTAAAATGATAGCTTATCTCTGTTTTCATTTGTATATATTTTTAAGTGAAGCTGACCATTTCTTGAAATATTTTACAAATTTTTATTTGTTCTCAAAATATTTGCAAAATCACATTCTATAATGAGCAGGATTGCTTTCATAGATTCATATTAAGTATTAATTTCAAATATTAAATCAACAATGCCACTGGGTATTTTTTTATTATTTCAGTGGTAAGAAAAGTGTTAACACTTTTTTGCAAATATTTTGAGAACAAAGTGAACAGTGAATATCTCTGAATTATAAAAGTTCTGACGATTTTCTTTTTCTGCTGATGTATATTTTCTAAAAATAATATGTATATATTATGCTAATTAATTTAAAAATAGGACATTTTAAATCACTTACCCTCAGTGGCTGGTATTTTACTAGGTTCTTTTTCAAAGTAAAGAAAAATATTTACTAAGTTACACTAGAGTTCACTTTAGTACAGAGAATGGCCTCTGTCCCTGCATCATAATGTCAGACTGAATAATTTCATTGAATTAATTAAATAATTAATGATGTGTCCTAGAAAATTCTGTATTCATTTCCACAATCTCTGTTCTATCCTAATGCCTTATTTGTGATTTTTAATTTTTCTTTTTACTTCATAATCTTCTGTTTCACAATTGTTGAGTTACATTTTAATATTACATGAACTCAATGCCCTTAAGTTGGGACAACTGAGGAAATTCTGAATATGGACTGTGGACTTGTATAGCATTAATGTGGATTTGCTGATTTTAATAGTTATTTTGTGGTTAAATGAGAGAATGTCTTCCTGAGAAAATACATTCTGAACCAAGGAGGGTGTGAATAACATTCATGTTCACTCAGAAAGAGAGTGTGCTAAAGCAAGCGGGCTGCAGTATAAGGTGAGTAAATCGAGGTGAACAGCATGGGTGTGCTCCCTTCTTGCGACGTTCTGTAAGTTTGCATTCATAAGAAAATTTTTAAAAGACAAAACATGGACCCCAAGCTGCGACTGTCCCCACGTCCCGTCATTTGAGAGCCCCTCCCGCTCTTCCCTTTGGCTGCTCTGAAGCTCGGCGTTGTTTGCGCTGGGTTTCTGGCTGCTCCGGACACCCGCGCCGGTGAGCAGCTGTCCACTCACCCGCCGAGCGCACCTGGCCCAACCCAGCACCCGGAAGTCGGCCTCGGTGGGATGACTGCGGTCCTCAAAGCAGCCTGCTTCACGGTGCTGCTCACCAAGGGCTGCCTCGCGGAGCTCCTCTACCACATACGTTGCTACAAAGCAGCTCCAAGGCCGCGCTGGGGGCTTTTCCCGCTCACCGTGCCCTGGGTGGGGTCGTAGAACCGCTGCACCAGCTGCACTGCGGTGCTCTTCCCGCAGCCGCTGCTCCCGACCAGGGCCACCGTCTGGCCGCTCCGCACCCGCAGGCTGAGGCCCTTCAGGACCTGCGAGGCAAAGATCCATCTCACAACCGCTCCCTAGTAACCCAACTTGAAACGCAACAGAGTGCATCCCATAAGGGCACTGAACTCCCGAAGGGAAAAGCGCCTTCAACATTAAAAGAAGAGACTATTCGTCCATTCATTCATTCATTTATTCATTCATGGCAGTGCTAAGGATTAAACCAGGGCCTTCACTCTGAGCTACAGCACCATATCTGTCTTGAATTTAAGTGCTTGAAGCAAGGTCTCCCTAAGCCAACACACTGCCGGAGCTGGAGTTGAGTTTGCCACCCTCCTGCCTGAGCCTTGCGGGGTGCTGGTTTCCAGGCCTGTGCACCTCCACACCTCAGACTTCATTATTTACGGTGATTAAGCAATCAGCCTGCATGAGAAATTCTCACCAACATGTCTTACAGTACCTTGACATCAGGTCGAGATGGGTAAGAAAAATGAACTTGACTGAACTCCAGATTTCCTTTGATGCTGTCTGGCTTGTGTCCTCTCTCTGAAAAACTGTCAATTTTAGGGTTCTAAATAAAACAAAATGCAATGACTATTTTGTCACAGAATACATATTTATATTTTTAAGAAATATGATTCAGCAAATTCTAAAAATAGAACCTGGAACAGTACAGTGTCTCACCTGAGACAGATTCACAGTGCAGTCTGTGTGTGTGTGTATATGTGTGCACATGTGTGTGTGTGTATGTGTGCGTGCTGTATAAGAAAATGTTCCTTTTCAGTAAACAGGCTTTTCATGAAGAGTATATAGAAAATAATCATTTCATTTCATTCAATATTTCACTTGAAATATTGGCATATCTTCATAAATTTTCTAAATAGATATGCATATTTATACAACTGCAATAACAAAAACATACTATAATCAATAAGGCCAGGTAGTTCAACATTTACTGAAAATTAGTTTATTCCTAAATAGTAAGTGTAATGGATTTAGTTGATAAAAATCACTGAATGATTATCACAACATTATTTAGGAGCCTGAACTTTCAATATATTCAGAAGCTCAGCAATTTTCTTATGACTTGGAATGAAATGAGCTATTACTGAAATTGAAATATCAAATTTTCATCATCTACTTTGCATTTTGTTTGAGTAAATGCAGTGACATAAGTATGGCAAAATACTTTCTTTTTCATTGTAGTCAGTTCAACTTATTCAATATAGTTGATTCAAAATCATAAAAATGCAGTGATAATATTTGAGTTGCAACCCATAGCAAAACATAATATAAATTTTGATCCTACCAATAATTTATCTAACCTCAATCCTACATAGAAAGCGTAATATTTTCAATCTGGCTAAAATGTGATGAGAAAAAGAAAATGTAAGCAGAGAAACATCCTTGCTTTCAATTATAATAATACTACACTATAGCAGGTGTGTTCGTCCATAAGATTATTGTTATTAATATTAGCAAAAGAAAAACTTTTGAAACAGTAAGAGGCATTTTGTATCATGCATGACTATGAGGAGGTCATTAATTTCATGTTGCTAAATTCTGCTGTGGTTGTTATGGCTTGTGTTTAGATGTTCCCCAAAGCCTCATGCCATCAGAGGTGGCTGGATCTAGAGTTTGAAACCTCTACAAACTGTGAGCTAAATAAACCTTTCCTCCTTTAACTTTGAGTGTCAGGTATTTTGTCTCAGCAATGAGAAAAGTAAGACAGTAGTTAACATAACTTATTCAATATAGCTGATCGAAAATGTCACCTAAAGCCAGATTGAATGATCCCAGTTTCAGCACTAAGTTAACAGACGACTTACACTGTCAATAACTCTGAAGATCATACAGGCTGCTCCTCTTGCATTGGCAAAAGCATCAATGCACGGCGCAGCCTGGCCAATGCTGAATGCTCCAATGAGGATGGAAAAGAAGACCTGAGCAAAAGAACATGAGGAAAGGTTATGTCCCCTCCAGCATTCACTACGATTTAAATGATGATTTGTACGAAACATACTACCTGAAAGGCTGGGTTTAACTTTATCTTTGAAGAAAGCTTTAGTAGCTTTTATTCTTTATTGAGACATAATATTTGTACATCTTTATGAGACACATTATGATAATTTGATATATGTATATAATACGTAATGATAGAATCAGGATAATAGGCACTTCCATCACTTCAGTTAAAATTAAAATGAAAAATAAACAAAAGTAAAAGTTTTTTTAGTAAAGAGCAAAATTTATAACATTAATATAACATTTTATTGCCCAACTGAGTTTCTCCAACCTCAAAAATCATTCTTGTCTAATTTGCCAAGCTGTCTGTTGCTGTTCTCCTGAATTTACAGTCAAAAATTTTTCAAACCTATCTTGTTGGCTCTGCCACCAGAGAGAAATAGTTTCTCCATCAGTGTTATTATCAGGATTGTATGGCTTTCTGTAACTATGCACAGAATTCACAGAGTGGTGACTGTGAAACATGGTAGATTTTTGGCCTAGGGAATTTTCCTTACATAGCACCATTATAAATTGGATAGACGGGCAGATGGATAGATGAAGATTTTCAACACGAAAAATAAGAGTTCCCCAGTTATAAAACACCAACTCACTCCCGCGTGCACTGGTTGCATGGTCGATCTGTCCCATAGCACCCAAAACAACACAGTTCCCTTCATATCTTTCTCATTAGGGAACTAGACTGAGACAGAAAAGCCCAGAATGTAGCTTTAAGAATCTAGACTAACAGCATTTTTAACTGAGAAAAACATAAATGAAGGAATAACACTCCGTTCTCTTGAAGCACAGTGAAACTTTTGACATATAGTATGGCTTTTCTCCAAGCACAGTGACATTCATGTACCAGAACCTGAGAATCAGCCAAATATCTGTCCACCGTCTGCAGTACAGACAAAGAGAAATAGTCTTTGCCAAAGTAGAGGCTCTGGACAGGAGGCTATAAAAGTCTGGACTTTGTACAGGACTTTGCTTCACCGTGGGTATTACTCTCAGTCCTACAGGGATGATGTGTCATCGTCCACATGCCACGAACAGAAATGAAGAGACGAACTCATCACGAAGGCTGAGGGGAAATGTCAGCCTTCAACTGCCCTCCATAAACGTCAGAAGTAAATGAGAAAGTGAAGAAAAGTGGAGAACTTCCAAACTGCCACCAGAAAGGAAGTGAGAGAGTGTAGACCCCGCAATTATGGCAGCTCTTCCAGCCGGACAGTGAAGACTCAAGACACCACTGCAGGAAGTGATTTGAAAATGTTAACTTTTGGGCGGGGGATTTAGCTCAGTGGTTCCAGCACCTGCCTTGCAAGTGCAAGATCCCGAGTTCGATCTCCAGTACCAAAAAAAGAGAAAATGTTAACTTTCAAAATGACCCTCAGCCATCATCACAGTTCAGGATCTTGTTTGGGAAGATGGGGAAGGGCAGGTTTAAAAGATGTCTGAGTAATAATTCTATGCTGCCGTGAACATCACTCACATGGAGACAGTCATAAAACATTGCTACTTTATTTTTAAAAAGTACACATGCCCTAGTCCCTGTTTGGAGAGAAAAAAGTGTTTGCACAGATAGAAAATGGTCTGGAAGATACACCCATCATCACAAATATATATGGATAATTAGATTATAATTTAACTTCAGAAGTTGTACGTTCTTATTCTTAGTATAATTGGTATATATTATTTTTTAGTCATGAAATTAAGCTACTGATATCTTCATTTTCATACAGAGGGTGAACTTCTCTTCATACAACTTCTGCTGTTTCAGATAGCTGATGCTTTTTATTAAGTACATCTAATGTTCTCCTGCACCTGGCCTGTCTATAGTAATGTTTACTTTCACATACAGTGAAATTCAGCAGAAACTCAACAGAATGAGGATGACTCCAGTACATATTTCTTCATTCCATTTTTGTTTCCCTTTAGTATGTCACACGTGTGCCTTATTTGAGGCTTAGTAGACTATTTGGTCTAATTGCACGTTACTGTGTCATCCCCAGCTGCATATTCCCAAAACCTAGCTTCACCCACAAGAGAACAAAGATTTATCCAAAAACGAAAACCTGTCATCATGGCTCCTCCTTCCAAAAGGAGCAATGGGAAAGAACAGAGAAGGTAGAGAGAGAAACAACATTTTCAGATTCTTCATAAATACCAGGAAAATCACTTACTGTCATTGCATTTCCAATAGTATATTCTTTTGCTAGAACCAGTGTGGATCCGTACCAGAAGGCCAGGGCATATGATGCATATATTAACAGGAAGGAAATGCCCATGGAAATGTTTGCAGATATCACTTTTTTGATTCCAATCTTTTTGGCATTCTCTAAATGTTTTTGATACCTACCCGAAAATCAGAGAGAAAATGTCACAATAGAAACAACAACTCAATTTACAATTAGAGCCATACTCATCTCCTGTGTAGGGGGAGCCATTGACGTAATCAGCCAGTGGTGAGACCCAGCGTCCTGGAAATCGCTGTTCAGGACCAAGGAGCGCTACACCAGAGCCAGGCTTCTCTCCTGCTCGGGACCCTTCTCCCCTGGTCCCTACCTGGCCAACCAATGTTCAGGTGGCCATTGCAGAATTGAACTCTCGCCCCTTCAGTATGAAGAAAGAGGTTTCCCATCACTTTAATGGCCAGCATCACCAATAAACTTAATAAATAATAATTTAAAAAAGAAAAAGAAGGCCGGGGATTTAGCTCAGTGGTTTTGCTGCCTGCTGTGCAAGCGCAAGGACCCAAGTTCGATCCCTGGTACCAAAAAAAAAAAAAAAAAAGAAATAAAAGAATTTAAAAACTATTTAATCTGAACTGTTCTGATAATTTACTCTGGAAAAATTTTTTAAAGCTATAAATTAGGACT